AGTCACCCACTCGAGGCGGTCACCCTTTCTATCACGGAAGGTGAACCAAGGGCCTAAAACACCACTAAGAGTCACCAGCTCAGACCCAACCAACCTACCTCGATACCTAATCAGTCTCCTAGACAATCATGCCTGTCATCCCCATTTATATGCAGGAAATGTCCCTCGTAATTAAAGCCCCACTTGCTACGTCATATATTCGTGTAACCCTCACACTCCCCTTTTAGAACGAGCAAGATGGGAACCCCTCACCATTGAGTGCCTTAACGACGCTCCTACCCGCTGCCAAGGCAGCCACCCTTTTTTTTATTTTTGAAGTTTCCTATTTTGTATCCTAGTCCCCTAAAGTAGAAACTCCTGCTACTCTCTTGGCTTGGAACTTTGAGTCTTCCAGACCAAGAGACCCAGGAGTCAGGCGCACCGGCCCAAACCTTAGAGTTCACGGCCGGAGCTCACTCCCTAAAACCCCTGATCCCGGTTAGAACTAGCCTGCAGGGCCAGGACTCGCCTTAGAGAAAACCCGGCCTCGACAAACCAAGCCAGAGGCCCGAGACCCAACCGCCACGAGCCTGGCCCCAGTTAGGCGCTTGCGAATTGCTGAGTCACATTGAAGCGAGAATGTTGTAACATGTCACCACAAATCACGCACTAACACCCGAACAGGCGAGACGACCGACCGGGGACACCCGCCCGGCATATCCGACATGACATGCACCTTGTCGGAAGGTGCATCTCTGCCGTGGGGGGGGGTATGTAAGGTTAAATAAGGGACAGGGCCGTAAAACAGAGCGAGGCCCTGTTGTGTACACATTCGACCAAAAGGAGGAAGACGCCCCACTGCAGCTTCAAAGGAACAGCGAGGTCGGCCGGAGGACTATCATTGATCATGGGGATTACAGATGCCAAAAAGAGCAATAAAGTCACCACGGGGATAAGCACCTCTGTCTCTGCCTGCCTGTAGAGATCAAAGATCACAACCCTGCTCTCGCTCACAGACTCCTGCCACCGGACAATCAAAGACTCCCCCGCGGCGCTCTGACGCCCCCTTGTGAACAATGGACACTATCACACCCGGGACGGACAATTGCGAACCGGTACCCCTGGGTCCAGTACTCCAATAATCTGCATTGTGCCCCATATGTGTGTATCAATGTCAAAGTAATGAAATACGGTGTGTGTTTGTACATGTCTTATGATTATTAGCATCAATCCTGTGTGTTTCCTTTACAAACTGTCTGTTGTAAAAGGGGTCTGTCCACAGAGGGCAGGGGCGGCATGGACACGCCCCCTGGGAAGTCAATATAAACACGAACAATGCCATAGAACGATCTCTTGCCTTCTCCTGAAATCACTATTCCAACCTCCCTGGCCATCGGCGTCCCGCGGCACGTGTCTCCTACTGCGGTCGCGCCAGCACGCATCGGGCCTTCTACTCCGCCAAACATACTCTCCTCTGGCTCGGGACCTTACGAACCATTTCATCACCAGCCTCTTTCCTTGGCTCTGGACTATACGCGTGCAGCCCATTCCGGACTGAGCTGCATACGCGTGGACCAGCAGCTGGACCAACTCGCTGGCTTTATACCTCCCGCCTGCCAGACAAAGAAACCACGTGGGCTGATCCCCAACCCAAATCCTTTCTCCATCCTCTACGCTCCTCCAAAGTAAGACTGTTCTTGTTAAATGTATGATTTGAATGATATGTGTACAACTCCTGCTTTTAATGTGACCAGAAATCCCTTTTCGTTATATTTTTACCCTCATTTTTGTAATCAATAAACTACTTTTCTTTAACTCAACCCCTTCAGAGTCGCGTTGTTAGATCTCGGAATATCACTGGCCGATAAAAGTACTCACTACCTATTAGATTCATAAGACTGATCGAGGCAAAGATTTGGTGTGTCTGTGCGCAGATTTCTAACTCTGCTGGTGCCCAAAATAAATAACACAGACCTGTTGGTGGAACGGCGAGCTTCCGCTCCGGAGACTAGCCGCTCCACGCTACCAAATTCATACTAAATTTATAACATAATCTGTAGTATTATTACCCTAATACATATAACTAGTTACCCTACAGATGCTTTCAAAAATAGAGAATATTTCTAGCCATTGGTAATATCAAATGGTAAAGGGACCATTCCACAAACCTTTGCTTCAAAAGTAGATAAAGTTACTTACAGTTTTATGTACAGTTTTATTAGATACTTGCCAAATTCACTTGTGTTCAAACATCTGTGAATGTTGACAATACAAAAAGTTCGGTAACACTTTACATTACGGGCCGGTAAGTCCATGGTACTTACAGTGGTACTTCTAGGTACTTATTGTGGTACTTACAGTGGTACTTCTAGGTACTTATTGTGGTACTTACAGTGGTACTTACAGTGGTACTTACAGTGGTACTTACAGTGGTACTTACAGTGGTACTTACAGTGGTACTTACAGAGGTACTTACAGTGGTACTTCTAGGTACTTATTGTGGTACTTACAGAGGTACTTACAGTGGTACTTCTAGGTACTTATTGTGGTACTTACAGAGGTACTTACAGTGGTACTTCTAGGTACTTATTGTGGTACTTACAGTGGTACTTACAGTGGTACTTACAGTGGTACTTACAGTGGTACTTACAGTGGTACTTACAGTGGTACTTACAGTGGTACTTACAGAGGTACTTACAGTGGTACTTCTAGGTACTTATTGTGGTACTTACAGAGGTACTTACAGTGGTACTTACAGAGGTACTTACAGTGGTACTTCTAGGTACTTATTGTGGTACTTACAGTGGTACTTACAGTGGTACTTACAGTGGTACTTACAGTGGTACTTACAGAGGTACTTACAGTGGTACTTCTAGGTACTTACAGTGGTACTTATTGTGGTACTTACAGTGGTACTTAGAGGTACTTATTGTGGTACTTACAGTGGTACTTCTAGGTACTTATTGTGATAATTCTAGATACAGCTGTAACTTAGTAATTCAAGGACACTACAGTATTATTCCTATGTAGTAAATGTGGTACTTCTACATACATACATACAGAGTTCATTTGTAGGATTGTTTGACTATAAAACATAAAACAACATTATGTAAAACAAACGTATTTATTAATATGGAATAAGTAGCACAGAAAGGACAGTATAAATACATTTAATGCATATTTCAAAACAAGTTTCAAGGACAAGGGAAACACTGCAAGAACTAGGTACCCAACCCAAGTAACAAGAATTACACATTACCAGGTACTTGGCAGCCAAGTACCAGGTACTTACCAGCCAAGTACCAGGTACTTACCAGCCAAGTACCAGGTACTTACCAGCAAGTACCAGGTACTTACCAGCAAGTACCAGGTACTTACCAGCAAGTACCAGGTACTTACCAGCAAGTACCAGGTACTTACCAGCAAGTACCAGGTACTTACCAGCAAGTACCAGGTACTTACCATAGGAACTGGCCCATAATAAGACAAAGGACTTAACCATAAGTACCAGTGATAACACCAGTAATTATACAGTAAGTACCAGGTAATTACCATAGGGACTGGCCCATAATAAGACAAAGGACTTTAACATAAGTACCAGTGATAACACCAGTAATTATATAGTAAGTACCAGGTACTTACCATAGGAACTGGCCCATAATAAGACAAAGGACTTTAACATAAGTACCAGTGATAACACCAGTAATTATACAGTAAGTACCAGGTAATTACCATAGGGACTGGCCCATAATAAGACAAAGGACTTTAACATAAGTACCAGTGATAACACCAGTAATTATATAGTAAGTACCAGGTACTTACCATAGGAACTGGCCCATAATAAGACAAAGGACTTACCCATAAGTACTAGTGATAATACCAGTAATTATATAGTATACCATGTACTTACCAGCAAGTACCAGGTACTTACCAGCAAGTACCAGGTACTTACCAGCAAGTACCAGGTACTTACCAGCAAGTACCAGGTACTTACCAGCAAGTACCAGGTACTTACCATAGGGACTGGCCCATAATAAGACAAAGGACTTTAACATAAGTACCAGTGATAACACCAGTAATTATACAGTAAGTACCAGGTAGTACCTGGTACTAGCCACAGACAAAGGACTTGGCCACATACAAATGACTTAGTAATATGTCAAAGACTTAACCATAAGTACCAGTGATAACACCAGTAATTATACAGCAAGTACCAGGTACTTACCATAGTACTGGCCCATATTAAGACAAAGGACTTTAACAAATTTGACCAGCATCTAGTGTGTGTATCCATTATTTTAAACCGACATGCAAACACAAACATGGTGTAAAAGGATAGTTGAATAGTTGTGAGCCCACAACGGTGTAGACTTTGTTTCAGTTTTCTCTGATGAGCATAAATCACATCAAAAGCACACAATGACCACACGCCTCGCTGACCGCGATTGCTCATAAAAGCGAGCGCAGAGCACGCACGGGGACATGAGCACCTACCTGGTCAGTTAAGCCTCCACCAAACGGTAAATTATAGCTATCCGTTACCTTTATAGGTTGGCTTGCACTCACATTTCATGCCGCTATTGTCCAATACTAATTATCATTGGAAAACCTACATTAGATTCGGTGCTCATGTCTCATGCACAGGTGCGCTGCGTCAATGCAACTTTGTAGCGTAGGCTGATGCATTAGCCCGCTGCCCATCACTACTTCATGAATCCAAGCGGCAATAAAGGTAAACATGCAATTTAGTGTATTGGCCTACTGTCCGTGGCTCAACCAGTGCAGTTTATGCCCTCCTGTTTTTATATTGCAGATTTAGATGAGTCATGTGAATTATATTTTCCCACGTCAAAATGGTGAATTTCCATGAAAGGCGACAGATTTGCATGCATGTTTGATGCATGCTCTGTCTGATTCTTCTGCTTTTGATGACTGTTGTCAGCCAGGGGAAAAGAGCACTGGCTTGTGGACTTTAGAAAACCATTCAGTCATCATTCTTCACTCCACCGCCATGGCATTGTTCAAAGTTTGCCTCTGCAAGAAAAAGGTAAAAATGGGGCGACAGTAGCTCAGTTGGTAGAGCATTGGCCTTAAGCCCAGAAGGTCGTGGGTTCAATTCCCACCTCTGCACCTTCTCCACCGACTCCCACTAATGACTGCTGTCGTTGTGTCCTTGGGCAAGACACTTAACCCCACTTTGCCCAAAGCCCCCACTGAAAGATCAAGGCTATGCTCACACTCAGAGAGCAGCCGTCCTCCTGTGGACTCACCACCTGCAGAGGGTCAGTGAGGGGCTGGTGCTATGAGACTTGGGTGGCATCTCTGATTGCCACCCCCCTGACCCAGAAATGGATTAAAGGGTAGAAAATGGATGGATGGATGGAGAAAAAGGTAAAATACATGTTGAAAAATTATTAGCCAGGACTGTAGCCAAGATTTTACAAATACTAAGGTTCAGTTCCTGTGCTCATTAAACATTTACCTTTACCTACAATAAATAAATCCATGGCTACAACCATGCATTTATTAACAGCATGTGGACATCATTATTACTTACTTTTTTTTGTGCTCATTGTTGTTGTTCTGTCGACCTGATAATTAAAAGCAGAACATGTGTTAACAACCTCGACTTTATTAGCATATTAATATTTAATATTGTTAATCTGATCAAGTTTTTTAGAAAGTTTGCATTAGCGACAATGACAGAACGCGCTGAGCATTCTGAGGCCTACTTTTGTAAAGTGTCCTGACTGGTTCATTGGCCCACATTCACACGCGGTCTTTCAAACACAGACTGAAGCCAGTTGGGTAACACTACTACTATAGTAATATTATGTGCGTTGCTACATAGACAATTCGTTTATGCTCTCATATCATTGTGCTTTTGGTACAATCATAGTTACTGTCTGGTGTGTAGAGACATGGTCTCCGTTGTTTGTGTTTTTTATGCCTTACTTGCTGTGGCAGGGTGCAGCTGACATGTCGGCTCCAGTGCTGTGAGCTCACAGTACTATTGCATGAAAGGTGGCACACGGTTGGTCCTCCCTCTGTCTCTATGTCCAAGTACATATGCCATCCTTTGGCCGCCGTCCTCCTCTACAATCTGCGCCACCTCCCATGATGCACATTGATGTCAAGAGAAGAACAATGTAATATTAATATACACATATGTATGGATTATTCAATACAATTTGAAACGGCATACATTTGTAAATTACGGTCAAGAAACAAAGTAAGTCACGTAAAAGATCAAATCAAAACACTACTTTTATTCAATGGTATTTGTGTTGATATTATCTACATTTCTAATTATCAGAGTGGGGGTATTACATGGCAATACTTTTGGTCGTGGTCTTCAAACACCACTCATTTTCAACTCAACAGAGTCACACACCATATCTCTTCATTTGTGTTCTCTTTAATCCGTGTTACTCCGACTATCTGTGAATAAATGACTAATTTGCGCACTTTCAACAACTCTTGTCTCCCCGTTTTGTTCCAAAAATACATTTCTGCACACTACATTTTAGATAATACCAGCACGATGGATAGATGCATTAACGCACATGCGCGTTAGCCTCCCGCGTAAAATTTGAATTACTATACTACAAGCAGTATGCAACGATTACAATTGAACATAAATCTAACCCTTCCGTTATATTCGGACGCAAACATTTTCATTTATGACAGTCCTTCGGCATTTACAGTAGTAAACATACCACTAACGCTTCGCTTGCTGAACTCGTACCATATTATTGCACGCATGGCTAAACTGCCACCTACAAATCACTGTAACTACTTACGAATCACAACTTGACAAACTGCCTGCATCGTAGCAAGCATAAACATGTGGCTTTTACATTCATATCTATTCGACACCGGTGTATCCACCGGAGAATCAGCAGCATGATAATCGCGTCTGGTAGCTAAACGGCTAACGCTACATAGCCATGGGCCACTTAAAAGTTATCACACACCTTTGACACAGGCGAAGGTCATTATAGTTTAGACTTACAAGTGAAATTACAACATCGCATGGCCTATGTCTGTTTTGCACCTTTACCTTTCTTTAAGCTCTCTCCATTCGCCAATACCTTCCCCAGATGGACTCGTGGGAGCCCGCTCCCTCACGGTCCGAATCTCAGACAAGGGTCTTCTCTGCTTTTTCCGCTGGCACTGACATGTAATTAACCTTACAAATGTCTGTGTAGGTTTCTGAACACGACCGTGCGCACCTACAGCACTCACGATGATCGGACATTAGTCTCGTCTTGGATGTCTGTACAGCAGGTTGTCACCGCGAGAACGAGAACTGCTACATGTATCCGGCTCGGGGGGCATGTCGTGAAACCATCTGAAATTATCTTGTGGCCCCCAGTAATAACTTACCCCATTAAATTTGTATACATTTTTCATTTGCCTTAGTATTTGTTTCTTTTCTTTTAAGTTGAACCCATTTTGGTAAACACTATTACAAACTGAGGTAAGCAAACTTGCAAGTGCTGTATTCCGAACAGACAGCAGGGGGAGATGACACACCCTTTAATGATCCGATAAACACCTGTTCGGCCCTCACACGGACTTGGAATACAATACATTGTGATAATGTTACTTAGTTATGCAAGACGCATAATCAGTCAAAGTAGTTTAACAATATTTTATTTTCATGAAATACAGAACCAAAAAAACATAACATGCCAGGAAACTTGGAACAAAATGACACAAGACTGTCTTCCACTGACATACAAATTAAGGCCTAAGTTTGTATGCCAGTGGAAGAAGTTTTCCTTTTTGTTTCATTTTCTCAACTTTCACTCTGAGATCACCATTGTCATCTAGAAATTTCTTCAGGACCCAGGAGAACCTTTGCAGGGTCATGCCAGCCTGAAATTCTGGGGGAGTCATCCCCATTTCCTTGGACACCATAAGGACCTGCGGAAACACACACTTTTTGGTACAACATGGTTTTTTACAGGCAGCGAATGCATGTCACTTGTAATGCTTAAAAAAATAAAAATCGGTTGTTACAGAGGAGCATAAAAACCTGCTACACTGACTGAACCTAGCTCTGGGCAATTAAATAATACATTTTAATGAAATGTAAACTTTGGTCAATGTCACTCATGTGACTTTAACACCTTCATGTTCACAATTACTTTGTAGTGACATATCCTTTTTTTGGAGTTTGTAGGATACAATGCAAGATTATTGTTATTGTGTATCAAACCATGTACTAAACTAGGTCTAAACCAAGATGCCTTTTCGGGTATATGCATAACTAGTTGACAAAAAATGTATCTAAAATATTGCACAAATGTAAGATCTTATGAATACATGTGTTGGATTCACGTGGTAAATTATTTTTAAAAGAGTAATGGAAAGACAATTCAAAATAACATAATAATCACAAAAAAAAGACAATGAAACCAACAAACCTCAGCAATTATGTTAGTTAGCTTAAAGGAGGCAGGGTCGACCGAGTGCCTCCTTAAGGCCTGCGATGAGGACTTGACTTTTTTAAAACTTTTAAGGATCCGCTTATAGCGAGACACCACCTGCGACGGGGTCGCCACTGTAAAAAAGTAGTTTAACAATATTTTATATAATGAAATACAGAACCAAAAAAACATTACATGCCAGGAAACTACAAAATATACAAAAATAATTATATATACATATACACACAAATATATATTTATATAATATTGTATATATATATATATATATATTATAGGATATATAAAATAACAGTATAATGGTGTGGTTATAATCTATTACAGGTTTAAGACATTTCACTTTGGAACATAGTTTTTTATAGCAGTACTTTGTATGTATCCTTGAGAATCTTTACTCTTACTTGAGTTTTTTTAGTAAGTAAATAATTCCACTGAGTAAATCTTAATTGTAAATCTTAACACGTACAAAAGTAGGCTATGTGGTTTAGGTCAACTGATATATATGTATATGTCATGTTTTTATTAGGGGTGCTACTAACAATCATTGATTAATCTACAAATTACTTTTACAATAATAAATCAATTGCTTGGCTGTACACGGTGTATGAGCATTGTATTAGAATAAAATAAAATGAGGGTCTAAATGCTAATTCTGCGTTATAACTGGAAGACACACAGACGGATATTCATGAAATTTACAATGTACTTAACAGTAATACAGGTATTATCGCATAATGGGGATAGGCAAAGGCAAAAATTATACTTAAATGGGTGTGTTTATATGTTGTATATAGGGAGAGAGGTGGGTAGAGTACACAAGTAAGAGTAACAGCACTTTTGATACATTTTACTCAAGTAGACGTTGAAGGCAGTGGCATAACTCAGTGTTTTTCAACCTTTTTTGAGCCAAGGCACACTTTTTTCACTGAAAAAATCTTGCGGCACACCTCCAGGAGAAAATGTAAAAATGTATACAGTACTAATGTAAAAAAATATATACTGTACATACTCTGTGTGATATATAAAGTATATCTTATCTTATAATGTATACAGTATACTCTGTAGCCTATATTCACAATATACAGTTATTCTCATCAAAATGCTTAAGTCCAGGCCTTGAAATTAAGCTTTATTTAATATTTCTCGATACAATTAACAAGAGTTTGGGAATAAAGTGGCACTAACTGTGTGGAAAAAAACTAAGAAAATCCACTCTCTGCCCAAATAGTCAAATAATAACTCACACAAAGAACATGCATTGTTAGTGCATGGGAAACATTTTGGTATCCGAGCTTTAAATTCAGGAGTTTTGGATGAGGGACACGGGAGGTCCTGAACGCGAGTCCATGGTTCTGTCCGGTCCGCATGTCTGTGGTTCTGTCCACTCGACTACGGTCTGCGCTCGGTACCCAGTTCAGAAGTGCGTTCGCGAGAGCTGTTGTACAAAAATCGTACATTTCATAGTTAAACCACTACAACGCGGCCACAGCTTCCCCGGGGCAGAGCGGAGGATGTTAATCCTGTTCAGAAACGGCATAATTCATTTTCAAAAACGTCTCTATCACTTTCACTTCTCACTCGCCACAAAGCTCTTGTCTCGCTCCCTCACACATTTGTTGGTCGCATCCAATTTTACCTTTCTCGCCACAATGCTGACCTGTTACAGCCAGTGGTCGCATCCAATTTTTCAGTTTCAAAGTACTTAGCTATCTGCTGCCATCTACTGATTTGAAAAAGTATTACATGGTTACTCACAGTTCAAAACAAGTCACCGCTCGTCAACAGCGAATGCAGCTATTTTTAGACAAAGTAGACGAATTTCTCACGGCACACCAGACAATATCATACGGCACACTAGTGTGCCGCGGCACAGTGGTTGAAAAACACTGGCATAACTAATATCACTTGGATAAAATTTTACTTGAGTAGAGTCACTACGAGTTACTGTTTGAACATACAATATAGGAATGAAAACAACATATAATGTGAACATTTTTACATTTTAAAAGAAAAATACAATAACAACTAGGGCTGACACAACTAATCGATTAATCTACAAATAATCTATTATTGCAATAGTTTCCAACTATTTTAGTAATAAATTAATAATTTTCTGGTTCACACTGACTTAAATAGAGCTAAACTGATATTAAAATTGTGTATTTTTTAATTAAAACAACTTTGTTTTTATAGTCTGGTACGTAGTGTTACACAGGATACATTTTGTGGATGTCATGGAATAGCCGGCCTACTATTCCATGGCGGTGCTCTTTTCCAAGCCAGTGTGTCCATTCAATAAGACGAAGCGCATTTTTTAAACTACTTTCAGACAAATTGCCTCTACACCTATAAACCTGCTCTTTGTATGTCCTCCAAGCCCTTTCAATATGCTGGGTGTGCGCTCCTGTTATAGGGTGAACAAAAAATCTCTCGTGATTAACCTGATAATGAATGTAACCATCATCGGTCAAAGTGTTATATGCCCTCCACGAATCACTCAAAATTGTCCCACCCGGAATGACATATTTTTGGATTATAGGCAGCAACTGTGCCCTTGACCTTCTGCTGACAAGCTTTAGTACAGGCCGGCGCCGGTGTCGGTCCACCTCTAACATCCCAAACACCCAGGCATTTCGTCTCCTCCAGGTCCTGCCAATTCTTCCTCTGTTATACTGAAAACACAAGCATAAACATAAGGTATTGACTCACATCACAGTCCTGCATGTACAGGCATGGATAAGGGTAAAATGTAAATACCTAAACATAAATAATACCAACATTTATGGTTTTGTGACAAAGTAACCCCCTGTTTGGACATGACAGTGTTATCGGTCCACTGTCCTCCTACTGTGGCCTTTATGTGAAGAACCTTGGGTTGATGATTGATCTTTTGTTTAAGTGTGTAAAAACATTTAAAGTATGTGATCAAGTCCAGCATATTTCAACTGAAGGCTTTGACCAAAATAAAACCCAATCTTCCTTGAGATTGAGAGCAGAGGCTACCACAGAGTCATAAAAAGCCCTGAGCAGAGGCCTGCTCACTACGAAGTACCAATTTAAGGTGTAGTTGGTTGTTTTTAAATGTTAGTACTTTCTGAGCCCAGCTTATCTGAGTGAGCTGTTGTGATCTAACACTCCATCCAGAGCCTTATTGAGGTCTGCTGACCAGCTCCTTTTGGAGTATCCTAAAAATTAGCCAAAAATGAGAAGTGATCGAGCCTTCTCTGTGGGATCACCACAACTATGGAACATTCTTCCTCTCTCTGTCATGTCCTCTCAGTCTTTGTGACAGTTCTACACTGTCAGCCCTACACTGAAAACACACTTGTTGTCCCTGGCTTTCAATACTTGATTACCCATTTGATTTTATATTGGCCTTTTAGTTTTTATTTATATGTGACATATTTTTTTACTTTAAAGCCCTTTGTACTGCACATTTAAAACAAATTCAGTTGAACAAATACACTACAATTTAAATTGAATACAATAGTGCAATGTTTACAATGCAAAGTCAGAAATACCTTTCTTTTATGGCGGAACATACTTTCGTCGATCACCACAAAAGCTCTTCTTCCACCAATCTTCATCTGACGTCGACGTTCAAGGCGTTCCATAGCCTTTACACAGCATAAGTTTGTGTAAGCCCTCAGTCGTACAGGGATTAGTCAAAGCAAAGGAAGGTTTCTCACCCATCATCTGTACTTCTTAGCAAGTTTTCCCGACGTTTATGGCGTCGGGAAAACGTTTAAACGTCGGGAAAACTTGCTAAGAAGTACAGATGATGGGTGAGAAACCTTCCTTTGCTTTGACTAATCCCTGTACAACTGAGGGCTTACACAAATTTATCGTTGCCAACTTTGGGAGAGACGCCCTGGTCTTGGCACGCGGGTTGGAGAAAATCAAAAGAAAACTAGCAGACGCCAGAAATCATCTTAGGTTTAATCTTAGGTGTAGCCAGAGTAAACTTATCCCAAAATGTTTAAAGCAAAAAGCATTAGAAACAGGCCAGTTGGCAAGGAAAATACAACAAAAAACTGTATGAAGATTCTCAATTTAAGAATTCGACGACTTAACATAGAGATTATAAACCTAAAGGACGAGATAGAGGGCCTTAAGCACAAACTGGAATTGGCAGTCTCACCAGAGTTTTTTCAGAGGATTTGGACGTTTACGGAAACTGCCCAACTGAACCATCACAAGAAGGCCAAAGAACGTCAGATAGGCAAATTTCTAAAACTCCAAAACCATAATTCTTTTCAACATTCTAAAAGTGAAATTGGACAAGGTTTGGACAGGGAGAATTGGGTCAAAAATCTGTCTGATCGGCATTTATCACAAGCGGAAAAAGATGTTCTTACCAAAGGCCTAAATTTTGCAATAACCCCAAAAGATATTCCTACAATTGAATACATCACAGCAGCAGAAGCAGCCATTAGAAACAACAAACTAACTGAGAGTGAGGCAGGGGCCCTCAGACTGAGAGTCTCTGCCACACTCAAAAGTGCGAAGCCCCCACAATCCAATGTCTCATTAGATGAGCAAAAAGCATTATTGGCATTACAAAAGGATGAGAATATAACTATTTTACCAGCTGACAAAGGCAGATGCACAGTTATCCTCAACAGCTCAGACTATGAGGCCAAAGTTAATCAGTTACTCTTGGACACCAACACGTACCAGCCATTGAAGAGGGACCCTACCAGTGGGTTTAGGAAAAAGATTATAGACTTCCTTCAGAACTTAATGAAAGAGGGCATTATTGAAAAACCACTATATTACAAACTTTACCCAGGAGACACCATCCCCAGTATTTATGGCCTCCCAAAAATACACAAACAAAACTTTCCACTTCGGCCTATTGTATGTAGCATAGACTCTATCACCTACAACCTGGCTAAACACCTCAAAACCATTCTGGCTCCTTTGGTGGGTAACACCCACCATCACATAGAAAACACAAAAGAATTTGTAAATAAAATCAAACACCTCCAGTTTGACACAGATGAGACAATGGTCTCGTTTGATGTGACATCACTTTTTACGTCGGTCCCTATTACAGAGGCTGTGGAGGCTGTAAGAGAAAGCCTACAGAAAGACGCCACACTAGGGGAGAGAACGAAACTAACAGCTGACCACATCTGTGAAATACTTGAAATGTGTCTTAACACCACGTATTTCCAATTTAGAGGCACCTTCTTTAGACAGATTCATGGCTGTGCGATGGGCTCCCCAGTCTCTCCGATAGTGGCCAATCTGTATATGGAGAAACTGGAGGAACAAGCCCTGGGCTCTTACCAAGGGACAGCGCCAAGCCATTGGTTTCGATATGTAGACGATACATGGGTTAAGTTAAAGAAACAGGAAGTGGAACCATTTTCAGCACACATTAACTCGGTGGACCCTTTTATAAATTTCCCTCGCGAGGATGCTAAGGAGAGTGAACTCGCCTTTCTAGATTGTAAGGTCATCATACTGGAGAACGGACAATTAGAGACTGAGGTCTTCAGAAAGTCCACTCACACTGACCAGTACCTGGCCTTTGATTCAAATCATCTGCTACAACACAAACTCGGGGTCATTAGAACGCTTCAACACCGAGCCCACCAGGTCCCCACTAGCTCGGAGGGAAAGAACAGAGAAACCAAACATGTTCAGAGAGCACTTTCCAGATGTGGCTACCCCAAGTGGTCTTTTACTAAAGCCCAAAGGACGAGAAAGGCCAGAGATACAGTCCAACAGACAGAAGAAAGTAGGAGGAGAGGGGTGTCCTTACCGTATGTGGTGGGAGTTTCAGAGAAACTACAAAGAATCTTTAGGCAACACAAAATCCCTGTGTATTTCAAACCTTTCAACACGTTAAGACAGAAATTAGTGCATCCCAAAGACAAAACACCCAGACACAAACAGAGCAATGTGGTGTATTCAATTAAATGTAGTGAAGAGGAGTGCACTGACCACTATATTGGAGAAACCAAACAAACTCTACAGAAACGACTTTACCAACATCGTAGAGAAAACTCTAGTGGGCCACAGTCGGCTGTTCATCTCCACCTCAAGGCCTCCAACCACACGGTGGATGACACAGAGGTTAAAATTCTGGCTCGGGAGAAGAATTGGTTTGAGAGAGGGGTGAAAGAAGCCATTTTTGTGAGGAAACAAAAACCTTCTCTTAACAGAGGAGGAGGGTTAAGATTTGTTTTGCCTCGCATCTATGACGACATCCTAAAAACAACGCCCTAACTTGGGACAAGGTCAGTGACATGCTAATGAGTTAGGAGGGGTGAAACCTGCACTCCACTTGAGCATCCCAGCAGACAATAGGTCTGTGACATGCTAAGGAGTTAGGGTCGTTAGCCTCAGCAGGGTCGTTAGACCTGCTCCCTTCTACATCAAGCAGACCTGAGATTGTTTACGAGTTAGTATCAGGATTAGGGTGTGGCTTACCACACCCATAAGTTATAAATCTCCAACGCGCGGTCCGAGAATTCATTCCCTGAAGAAGTCCCCAAGTTGAGGACGAAACGTCGGGAAAACTTGCTAAGAAGTACAGATGATGGGTGAGAAACCTTCCTTTGCTTTTACACAGCATGTTCGGAGACGGTCATAAACTTTGGAGATGGACCGACTGCTTCGTACTGTGTCCTCCTCTATCAGGTCAACATGGCAACGTCTCATTCCTTGACAAAAACTGTAATAAAGACAATTACATTAAAAAGACACCGTTAACACTTATTCAGAGCAATGGTCTATGTCAGACACTTGTAAACAAGACACATGATTAAGCTCATGCAACAATTTCTTAGACCAAATGACATAATATTCATCATAAAGCCTATTATCACAAATGATTTCTTATTACAAAATGTACATATAGATCTTAAAATAATTAAAATGAAAACCTGTGGATTATTTTCATCCAAGTTTTGAGACTCATGTGAGATTTCTCGAACATGGATCCCTTGCGAATTGATCTGGAAATATTGCCATGTCTCCCATTTCTGCATCTCCTACAGAAAAGTAGAATTTAAATGAATAAGCATAAAAATAACATAACAAATACTATTAATAACTCTACAGCAGTGTCTCCCAAAGTGGGGTCCGCGGCCCCCTGGTGGGCCGCGAGGGTACTGCAGGGGGGCCGCGGGAGGTCATAAAAAAAAATAAAAAAATTATATAATTATTTCATTTTTTTTTTTCATTTTCAACCCCTTATTAGTCCATTTCTGGGTCGGGGGGGTGGCAATGAGAGCTGCCACCCAATGCTCATAGCACCAGTCCCTCGCTGATCTTCTGCAGGGGGTGAGTCCACAGGAAGATGGCTGCTCCATCAGTTGAGAAACTGCCTTGATCTTTCAGCGGGGAGCTTCAGGCAACGTGGGGTTAAGTGTCTTGCCCAAGGACACAACGACAGCAGTCATCAGTGGGAGCAGTTGGAGTAGGTCCCATGGTGGGAATCGAACTCACGACCTCCAGGCCCAAAGGCCAATGCTCTACCAACTGAGCTACTGTCGCCCCCATTAACATTTAATGTTAAATTTATAATGTTTTATTTGTAATATTCAAATATTTGTGTTCATTATTTGACTTGAATAATCCACTGTAATCATTTTTGTATTACAATGTTTGTAGCAGAGGCTATTTCCCCAAAATAAAATAACCAGAAGAGCCTATTCTTAATGTTGTCTTCTTGGTTATTATTTTGGGGGGCCACGCAGACCCGTCAGATTTTTAAGGGGGCCTCGGTGTTACTGAGTTTGGTAATGGCTGCTCTACAGTAACTAATATCACATAACCGTGGTGGTAAATTACTGTTATATCTCCTTTTTCATTATTTTCTTGTTTGCTAGAAAGCTATAACAAAACATAAACGATTTATATGGTTTTTCAGTCCCTTACTCTGGTTGGTTGTTTCATTAATAATATGTCTATGGTGGTTTCATTTTATCATGGCTGCGCCCTCCACAATACCTTCAGCAGTGGCACGTTATCAATGGAAATGTAAAATGTGTAGGCCACGCACATTGTATTTTCAACATATTAATAACACATAAAAAAATAAAAATATATATGCCTACTTCTGGAGTACTTATTCTTACCATTTGTAGCCATCTATACTGGGCGCATATTTAGATATTTTCATGCGTCTTCTGCATTTGTGGCATCGAAACCTTTTTGCCAGAAGCCCGTATTTTTGCAAGAGGCGTATCAGTCTCTTCCGACTCCTACCCAGCACTCGAGTGATCTCGGCGAGGCGTCGTGCCATATTTACTTCAATGGTTGTGCCATTAAAACTTAGTGCCAGTCGCGCGAGGTGAGACGTGTTTACGTCTTGCTGAAAAATCTAATGCCATGGCAAGAGGATTGCCATAGTGGAACTATAAAACTGATCCGGGGACAGTATCTCCTTCTGACATCAGATATTACGCCGACGTGAATACGGAGGCCAAGTCTGACTCCAGATCAGAGCGAAAGAAAAGTGCTGCTGAGAGGAGACAGTGCATTTAATCCGACTTTATTTGGTGCTCTGAAATGATCATACATGTAGGGCCTTTTTTAAATATTGATTGTACATCTATATATTCTAGAG